CAATCTTACTTGTAGCCTATGCCCCTGTCATCTCCATGGGGGACTTATTACACCACGATCAGCTTCCAGGAGATGGGGGGTAACACTGACATTTATTCTGTCCACTGGGTAGGAAGTCCAGATCATCTTGGCTGGGCATTTGTATGCAAAGGAGCTCAATTCGACAAAGCTGTACAAGAGATGTGTGTGTCTTTTGGAGGTTGTTGGGTAAAAGGAGCTTCATAAATATGAATTGTTAAGCATCATATTTAGAAAGGTGTTGCTCTATCATGCGTCAACCTACGAAAATGACTACGTGATCGGATGTGTCCCCTGTGTTCTGTTTCAGGGTGCTGTCGAAGTTCGCTTTCAGTTTGTCTCAGGATTGTGAACTACCGGACCGAAAGGAGGTGAGCAGGGGAGACGGGGGCAAGGTGTAAAGGAGGAAAATAGGGGGGCTTTTGGGCAACAACAGCGTAGGTCCCAGTCCAGGAGGGGTCCCTGTTGCCCGGGGATCACAGCAAGGGGGCCCAGTTCAGGATGAGCCCCTACAGGCTGGGGCTCTTACTCCATCGCCAAACTGACCAAGAGGGCGTGTCTGCTGTGCCCTTGTATGGGTGCAGATCTCCGTGTCTGCCTGCCTGTTTTGTCTCTGTAAGGCTTTCTTCAGCTTGTCTCGCAGTGTGTCTGCTCAGTTCTCGAGATTTACTGTGCAGCTGCTTGCTGGGGGGGGGGTGTGTGTGTGTGGTTTGCGTGTGTGATGCTGTGATTGTGATCGTTTGTGGTGTGTAAGCAAGTCTGAGCGTGTCCCTTGTGCAGGTACTGAAATCAGATTGTGCCTGCACAGCAGTTTGGTCCCTTTCATGCTGGAGCTGCAGGTTCTCGTCAGGAAAGTCGCTGGGCCAAGTGCTGGACGCATGAGGCTCGTGGCTTTATTTGGAGGTTTCATATGCAGACGTTGATTTGTATAAGAGCCCGCTGCTGGGGGGAGGGGGGTGTGGGTGGGTTCAGATTGCTGTGCTGCGGACCTCTGAAACGCGCTCGCCGCTGCCCGTTTGCTGATCGGCTTGTCTGTCCATCCCCGCAGACGTCGCCCATCCTGAAATCGGGAGTGGTGGACATGTTGGTCAAACATCACCTCTTTAGTTGGGACCTCTAGGTACGGATGGTAACCATAGCAACGGCGTCGCCAGTGTTGCCGTGGTGACGGGTGACGGGTGGTGGGTCGTCGTTCGCGCGCGCGCAGCACTGTCCTTGACGCGTGGGCTTGATCCGTCCACTTAAAACCCTCAGCTTCCCCCGCCCTGCTCTTCCTCTTCCTCTTCCTCTTCCTCCTGCCCTGCGGTGGGCCTGTTGCTGCCGATTGAGGGCCCCCTAATTGTTTAAGGGCTGGACTGCTCTCAGCTGCTGGTTTTCCCCAGCCGTTCCCCAGCATGTCTCGGAGGGACGGCGCGTCAAACCCACCACTGGTCCGCTACTGGTCGACCGCTACTGGTCGACTGCCCCGGTCTGGTCTATGAGTCCACAGAAGCAAGAGCCCTCACCGGCCGGAGACTGGACTTCTCCTGCGGGCCGGGGGTGTTGGAACTCGGCCTCGGGTATTTCCGCGCGCTCCCGGTGGATCATCGTGTCCTGGGCTGCCTCCTGCCCTGAAGGAGTCCGCGATGCAGCCGGGGGTCCTCGCGAGGGGCGGCCCGTCTCCGCGGTGACCGGAGTGGACGCTGGGGGGGTCCGGAGCCGGCTGGGCTTTCTCGGCCAGCTGTCCGTGCGGGATGGGAGGGGGCGCCTTCCCGCAGCGGGGGGGCGCAGCGTGTGAATCCCGGGACAGGAAGTGAGGGAATAGTCCAGGTTCCTGCTGGGAAGGCTTTTATCGGGCGGGCGGATTGACGTTACCACCTGCTTGCCCAGCCTTCCCGTCTCGTTATCCTACTTAATTACCGATGACCGAGCAAGCGGCTCACGGCGTCCTCCTCTGTCACGCAGCGCTGAGTCTGCAGGCGCGTGGGGAGCCCGGGTGCGAGGAAAGGCTTGGACTCTGAAGTGGAAGGAGGTCGCGTGGTGAAGTCACAATGCTGCTGATGAATTGGTTTCTCAATTAGGCTTTTCTGACATCTACATCTAGACCAAGGAACCAGTAACTCCAGTCTTTAAGAGCTGAACTATCCTCCATTTATTCCTGCGCGTGTTCATTACTCAGGACCCTACGGGTGCAGGCAGTTTGATTTCCTGTGTAAATATTGAGTTTATTCACCGGTCTGTCGTCTTCCTGCTTCTTCCAGTTCAGGGTCGCGGGGGAGCTGGGGGTCTATCCCAGCATGCAAAGGGCACAAGGCAGGGCACCAGTCCATCACAGGGCACACACACACACACACACGTGTGCACCAGTTTTCCCAGAAGCCAGTCAACCCACCAGTTATAGTGAATCCAACTGATCAGAAAGGATCTGTCTGTGCTCTGCTCTGGACTTGTCCAGTCTAGACCAAAACAAGATTACACAATTAAATATTGATTTTATACTTCTTATCCATTGTGGCTCAGCCTTTTTTGCCATTTAGTTTAAAATATCAATCTTAGCATTTTGGAGTTATTTTGCCAAAATCTTAAATCCACATTTTTTTCCTACTTTTAGCATAGTGCGACTGCTTAATATTTTTTCAGCAATTTAGTTTGCAAAGGAGAGCTCCTGCCTGACCTCTCTGAACTTGATCATTGATCAGGCTGTAAGGTGGTAATGTGCTGGTCTCTAGTGTTGTGGTTAGGCTTGGTTAGTCTAATTAAAATAACACTGACAGCAACCAGCCAATGTCCCAAGTTTATATACCTTATCAAGTTGTTTTATTACAGCTAGAGAGTAGATGACTCTTCTAAAGTAAATGTATGGATTTGAATTGCTCACAGCTGTCTTTAAAAACTCAGAGTATCTCAGGCCTCGATATATACAGCGCCGATGGGTGATTTTAAATCTGGGCTGGGAAAGTCGACGTAGAAAGTTAGATCGTCTTCGTGTGCTGCTGTTTCCTGGATAGAAGCCAGATGACATGGCATTCCAGCTCGAACCCTCAGCACACTGCCCCCAGAGTCCTGCGCGGCTGTGATTTCCTTCTCCTGCTGGGACGGGAGCTGATCTAGTGCGGTGTGGCGTCGCTACAGGTGTGGGGGTCCTGTTTGTCGACTGCAGAAAGTTTCACGTCTCTTTTGTCCTTTCTCTTTTTTTTTTTACATCGTCGGCTTCTTTCCGCGAAGCAGGAGAAGGAGCAGAAGCCCCTGAAGGAAGGCGTCCAGGACATGCTGGTCAAACACCACCTCTTCAGCTGGGACATCGACGGATAGGGAGACCCCGACTCGGAGCCTGATGGCCCTGGTGCCCGGTCTCCCTGGCAACACTGCCTCGTTGCCCTCGGCAACATCAGCCTCCTCTCCCCGGCTGGAGGGGTGTAGAGTCTGCAGGGTGTCCTTTCCCCCCTGTGCTCCATAGGCAGTTAGTTTAACAGGGCCAGTTGCAGCCTTTCAGCTCAGGACAGAGGGCAGTTTAATAATCATGGCGGAGGATAATGAATTGTTTTTTGTTTCCCAGTAATTGCAAGCCATCTGTGTCATTTGCGTAGGTCAGTTGCTGGAGCTATCGCTCGCAGTTTCTCAGCAGTTCAGGTCATGGCTACAGCGTGCGCGTCGTATCGGTCCTGCTCGACGTGTCGCGGTGCTCACCTCCGCCGTGGTCTGCCAGCTTGCAGTTGTTGTTGATCACTGTGGCCCCGCTGGGAGCGAGAGGAGGGTTACCGGCCCTGCGGCCCTGGAGAGCTGGAGGCCAGGTGTTGAAGCCTGCAGTCCTGCTCTTCCAGTCCCTGCTTCGCCGCCGCTGAGACGGCCCGGCCCTCTTAGGGTGGGGCTGGAGCCCCCCCCCTGCCGCCAGCAGGAGCCCTGTGTCCTGTGCTGTCCCTCCCGTCCTCGTGCCGACAGAGTGGGAGGGCTCCGTTTCCTGAGCCACAGTGCACTGCGCTCCAGGCTCTGGCCTGCCGCGGGGCTGACTGAAGCCTGGGGCTGCCACTGGAGGCCACTGCTAGCAAAGGTAGATTTTGCAGGAGGGGGGGTCTGGATGACTGGACCGGTATAGGAACTGCAAGCTGGTCAGTACAGTTCTTTGTCTTCGGCCGCCCTTCGTTTTCTGTGTGTGTGTGTTGCTATTAAGTTTCCACTGAAACAGCTGATTTGCCAAATTCCTATCCATGTACCCGCTTTTAAAAACACCTGTTTTCTTGCATAGTCCATGGCAGTGATCCTCCTGGCCAGCTGCTGCATTGGCTGCATGCTGTCTTAATCAGTCTGGCTGTGGCCCCGTTTCCCTCTGTCCTGCCTACGTGTAAAAGGAGGCACAGTGCTGACCATGTGTTTTCTTTATACTGTACCTTATAATCAGAGCTGGTTCAGTACAATGCAAACTGCTCTTTTACTCACTGAAATTTAACAGTGCACTCCTCACTGAAACCTTGCACTCTCTAACCCTAGGCTGCCAGTTCTATAATTAAGACCTCTACAAAAATCAATGCACCCCTCCAGCAGTAGTGTTAAATCTGTTCTCTGCTGCTATACAGTAGTTGTTGATAATTAGTGGAGATTAGCAGACCTCATGGATGTGTATAAGACTCATTTTGTGTTTTCATGTTCTCTGGCTCTGTAGAAAAGCAGTGCCAGGTCATGCAGGTCAGGCCATCTGCATGTTTCACAAAAGTGAGTGAAGGGCAGTTCTGTGTTTGTTAATTTATATCATAGCCCAGTGTAAATAAGAATAATAAAATTCTATATTCCCTGTAAAAGCATTCGAAGAGTCTGAAATTTTCATTAATGTAGTTGTGTGCAATTTAAGATTTTGTTTTCTGATTTATTCCAGCTTGTTTCCTCGAAGATATTCTGACCTGTTTGATAGAGTTCATAGGGGAGTGGTAATTAATACTGAGAAGCTATTTGTATAGGAGGCTGCTGCATGCACCGACAGCCACCATTGTGGTAATAAATTCTAGCACTAGGCCGAAGTCTCTCATTCCAGCGGCTACATCACCCTGCAGCTCCCAGCTGGCAGCCCACTGAAGCTCAGCAGGTGTGAGCCTGGCCAGTACCTGGAGGGGAGACCTCCAGGGAAAGCTGAGGCTGCTGCTGGAAGGGGTGTTAGTGAGGCCATTTGGGGGCGCTCATGCTGAGGTCTGCATGGGTCCTAGTTCCTCAGTATAGTGACAGGGACACTGTCCTGTAAAAATATGTATTATCACATCACCCAGGTGAATGCATAGCAAGACAGCTTAAATTTGGTGGTGAAAGAGGGGAGACTTTATTACCTGCAAAGCTCTTTGAGTGGAGTGTCCAGAAAGGTGCTATATATGTATAAGGTCTATTATTTCCAAGGTCACAGACAGGGCTGAAGCTTAGTTAAGGAATATTAAATATTTGTATTTAACACTGATCAGGTTGAGCACTGATGGGGCTACTTCAGTGATACAGCACATTTCCCAAGAAGACAACATGAATCAAGGGTCCACAACTCTGTTTTTATCTGATAAAACTTTTATTTCATAAAAGGATGTAGACCACAATCTTTCACCTTGATGGTAATTATTTATAGATAATGTGAAACATTTTTTTCTCAAAAATAATCATGCACTAATTCAAAAACTTTGCAAAAAAAAACACAATCCTGGTAGTTTTTTTTTCCTTCTTCCTCTGGTCATTAACATCTCACTCCATCTTCGGGCTACATCTGTTTTTTTTTAATCATTATATTCAGAACCCTTCCCAAGAGGAACCAAATTCCTCAACCAAATACAAATATTAGGCTTTAAAAAAAATTCTAGATTTTAATAAACTATGTAAAAGTAAAAACACAAGCTTGATTAGTGACCCAATTTAAACTGTCAGCAACCTGCTGAAAACAATCACAGCCCAGTTTCTCTCACTACACTGAGCAGGGGGTTCCAATTAACGATTATAATTGTCAGCTTGCACCATTAAAATGTAAATATTTCCATAATGCTTAAATAACTCAAAAAAATACCTTCAACTCAAAAGTCGTCGTCCCCCCCCCTCCCCCCTCTCCATTGAAATGCAATTCTGAACTACCGTGTAGCAAGACAGCTTAACTTGGGACAGTGGTCAGGTGGCGTTCTTAAAGTCTCATTTATTCATCGATGTTGAAAGATCCAATGTTTCCCAGAGGTCGGGCCCCTCCGCTCATTTTAAAGAGAACAAACACTGCCAGTCTGCAGCAGGACTGATTCACACATTTCACTGGCACGCTTCATCTATGCCCAGTGATGCAACACAACACATGCAATTGGTTTCTACGGTTACCGCTAAGCTTTGACCACCTAACATTAATTTAAATAGTCAATCACAGGGCAGTTACTTAGACTGTGATTCTACCTGTAGCAGGGGTGCTCCTCCCTAGTCCACAAAGGCTGGAATATTTGTTTTTCCTTCAACATGCATTTTTAAAAACCAAGAAAAAAAAAGATTTTTACTTAACTGAATCTCAACCTTTTCTGCTCAGCACAGAGCATCTGTTAACACCTCTCCACCCAGGCCATTGCAAATGAGATTTTTGCTCGCAGTTTGGGATACGTTAACTAAGCAATTAAAACATCTGATAGAGACCGTATCACCTGCGCCTTCAACACAGAGCATCTTATAAACCTGGAGAGGAGATCAACTCATTGTAATCCGATAGGTCTGGGTGACCCACGATATGTAGAGAGATGACCTACAGACTTAAACGAGATGAGCCTACTGGACATTCCCAAAACGGAGAAATCCAAGATACCAGATTTATACTGCAAAGCATTTACTTCAGCAATTTAAGCATCATGCTCAACCTTTCACCTGGGATTCGAACCCATGACCCCAGTGGTCCAGAGTCCGGCAGCCGAGGGTGGAGAAGCCTCGGGCTTCTGAAGATTTGAGGGCTGGAAGGAGAGGAATTAAAAAAACTAAACAGGTGTTCGAGAGGTTATGACCAGAACCGGGTCTGTTAATTTGGTGGGTGTTCGCGATTAACAACGATCCCCCTCCATTCCACTCCTCAAAGGTTAAGACACTCGCCAACATACTCCAGGACCTCAGCTGCCTCGCTCACACCGAAGCAACGGTTCAGTGGAGAGGAGGAGGAATCGGGGCTGGGCAGTCGCCTCTCACTTGCACCTGGAGCTTCCCAGTCCTGGTCCTCACATCCCAGGGTCTGGGGAACTCCAGGGATCCTGAACCTAGACCACTGCCTTGTACAGACCTCCCTGTCCTACTATCCTTTGGCTCTCCCAACTCCACTCCAGGTAGCCTCTGCTCTCTCTCTGCCATAGCGGTGGTTAAAAATACTCGCACCTCGCTGTGAAAAAAACTGCACACACCCACGCTCCACCTTCGGCGTCGTGTTCCAGCAGCGCTCTTTTCCCCACTATGGAGCTGGACTCGCGGATTTTTCTAACCAAGGACAGAGTGCAAAAAAAACAAGCAGGGCAGATCAAGTGCGTACATCAGCGAGCACTGGACCAAGCTCCAACAAAAAACAGCCGATAAAGCAGCCCTTTGGGACCAGGGTTGAGAGCCACTGACTTAAGAGAATAAATACTAATTAGAGGAAGTCGTCGCATGAAATAGATATGCTTCGTGCCCCACACGCCAAGTCACCGCGCCCACTGACGAACTGGTCCTGCCTGTAGGGTCTTATCATGGAGACCCAGCTGCAACCTGCAGGACTGAGGGCCTCACTAGGGGGGACGTCCAGGACAGAGGACTGGACTGACCCCGTCTTACAGTTAAAAGCGCTCCCTTCTACCTCTCAGAGGTTAAAATTAAACTCTGCCACAGACATGCTGGGGGGCGGGGGGTTGCAGTACATGAACTGGGGAGGAATTACTCTGCTGTGCTACTTTCCCCAAGATAAGCTAGCAATGCGCAGAAACCTTTTTTTAATATCGGTGAACCGACAAACTCGTTCTGTAATAGGGGAACTGACCGGGAGCTGCGTCATTCCGGGCCCGATCGGCGCCAGGAACCCAGCTCCTGCTGCGTCGCCCCAGGCCCTGTTTATGCTGCCGCGCTCCGGGCTGGATCCGCGGCGGGAACCTAGCTGCCACCGCGTCTTTCCGGGCTGGATCAGCGCCGGGAACCCGGCCGCGACGCAGCCCAGCACAGGTCAGTGCCAGCTGGCTCCTGGGAGGTGGGAAGCTAGTCCTGCTCAGACTCGGCGCTTGCAGAAGAGGAGAGGGGGGGAGGAGACCGAAGAGGAGAGCGGGGGGGAGCAGGGCCGGCGGGCGCGGGGTCTAACACGCCCCTCCCCCCCCCGCCGGCGTCGCCGCCGCGCAGCTCTGGGACTTCACCTTGTGTCGCTGGCCGCCCCGTCGCCGACCCCCTCCGCCGGACTTGGGCTGGAAGAATCACAAACGACAATGGAGAGCTGGTGAGCGGAGCACAGCCAAGACTCGGCTTTCCAAGAAGGACCGTGCGTTCCCATCTTCCCCCAGCGAGCCTCCCCGTCCGTTCCCATGCTCTTCAGAACGGGGCCGTGAAGCGCCAAGACGTTTTCCGTTCTTACCCATGTGAAGGAGATCCCAGACTACAGAGAAAGCAGAAACGCCAAAGGGTGTTTCATTAAACGCCGACACACAGTTTCACAGCAAGCCGAAAGTCAAATGGGTCAGTCGAAGCTCATTGTCATGAAGTGGTTCTCTTTCAATGCTTATATGTTAGCTGCGTACAAAATGCTGCAAGGAGACTGGTTGCATTCATACAGCCCTTTGCAAGGATACGAAAGTACTCCGCTTATAAGGCCCGATTCCCCCCTCCTGAATTCTCCTGGGTGACATGTGCCATTCTGCACCAGCAGCCCCACTGCACATCGAATCACGACGAGGAGTAAGACATTACTTCTGCAACTGAACTGAGGAGGAACTTTCGGGAGGAGCCAGATTGTGAAAGATCAGAGTTGAATTAAGGGGTACCCCTACATTCCAGGACAAGTATCCAAAGAACTTGGTATTTAACATTTCTGACAGGATGTGCGCGACTTCAGATAAATAAGACAACAGCTTCACAAGGAAACCATTATCAAGCGATAAACGCGGGGCTTAAAGAAAACTCTTGGGTTTTACGTCAGGTGTTTTGCTTGTGCTCAGGTTTTTTTGCTGAGCCCAGCTACCAGTCATCAGAATAAGGGCAGAAACGAATCGGCCAGAATCTAAACAAGTTTAAATAATGAGGCAAGTCTGCAAAAGGGGGGAGGCCATGTCTCTTCTCCAGCCCGTTCGGTTTTTAGCAGCGAACTGATCCCAGAACCTCGCGCTGCTCTAACGGCGAAGAGCCCTGTGTCTGGCACTGCAGGAGAGCAGGTTGCCTATACTCTCTCTGGCCAAAATACTGAGATGAAGAATTTGCTCTATTTATTAGATATAAAAAAAGTTTATTATAAATGCTTGTATTTGTTGAGTACATATAATACAGGACAGCACATAATGTTTATGTATTTGCTAACAACTGTAACTATGTAACTACTGTACTGTACCGTAAGTGAGCAGGAGGAGTGTTATCAGCTTCCTACCTGTTGTTTATAAATCAGCTAATGACTATAACCTTGTTATTCAATCAATCAACCAGAAACGGTAATGTTTTCGTACCTAGGTACTGTTCTGAATTAAGGTGAGGCCTGGGTGTTTGAGGGACCCTTCTTGAGCTCTGGAACCAATCGGAGATCGAAACTCAGGAAGTAATGGGAACTTAATTTGCTTTGATTGGGCTTACACCTTGAGAGCACTCTTCCAGGAACGAATGGAGTTCATATAAGGAGGGAAATTCCCAGCAGGACTGAGGCTGTGCCTATCGGGTTCTGCTCGGTCTCCTGACAGCACATTACCTTGTTCTCCTTGTTGATGTCTTTGCTCTGCATGTCCTCCTCCCCCACTGTCTGATCCCGAAAGCAAGGAAACGGGAAAGGGATGGAGAGATGGAGGGAGGGGGAGGGCCGAAACGTCCCCAAATGGGGGAGAAGAAGACAAAGAACGGAAGGAACAGAAGAGGGGTCAACAAAACAGGTGGGGGAAAAAAAACCATAAGGAGAAAGTGTACAGGAGCCCAAAAGAACAGGCACAAAGGGGCACAGAATGAAGGAAAATGTGCACAAAAAAAAGACAAGTGAACAGGAAGGAGGGAGGGCGAGGGGAGACGAGTGATAAAAAGGGTAAAAGGGCAGTGGGAAAGCAAGCGAAGAAGTGGGAGAGGTGGAAAGGGGCGTATATGAGAGGGGAGGTGGAGACAGGGAGAGACAGGTTAGCGAGAAACTGCGGCGAGAAAAGAAAGCCAGGACTCGGACTGGGAGCCATCGATCCCCCGGGATACAGAGGCTCGTACGAGCCGATTCGGGCAACACGGCCTTACAAAGACATTGAAGAAGTGCAGCTTTATCTGGATCCTCAAAATACCCGCCAATGTGGTCATTTGCCAAAATACTACTCTCCGCAGGGTGACCCTCGCGGCACACGATCACAGAACCTCGCATCCGGGTACCAATCTGGACGGTTCTCTAGAGAAACGGGAACTAAAGAGGAGCTGGCTCTGCGTTTCTCCCACGTCCTCTCAGCCCGCTGAATGGACAGGCATGCTCTGCAGCGCATTTGGGCTCTTCAGGAAGAGCGAGCATGGTGTGCCGAAATGGAAGTCACACTTCAGAATCATTTAAAATTGACTTCCTGCGTGCAGATGTTCGGTAGATGACTCAACTGGACTAAATCATTTGGCAAGTAAAGGTGAAGTATCTTCACCTGACAAGTAAATGAGTCTGCATGGATAGAAATACTTCTGTATAAAAAACTCATTGGTACAAGTTGTGCAAAAACTGTCGCTCTATAAAAAAAATAGCTGGAGGTGGCCTGCTATGGTGGTAGGATTGTTATCTCCGGCTGCATTATGCAGCTTTGGTGCAGTGCAGGTCCTGGGTGTAAATGCAAAGAGTAGCAAAGTTCAGACAGGTCTCGATAGACAAGGGATACAGACTGACCCAGGACATAATACAAAAAGAAATGCGTCCTCATAAATGTAGTGTCCGATCAGTCAGTGTGTCTGTATTAACCCCTCTCTCTCAGTGCAGTGTTAATGTACTGGAGTGTCCAGTCAGTGTGTCTGTATTAACCCCTCTCTCTCTCAGTGCAGTGTTAATGTACTGGAGTGTCCAGTCAGAGAGATGATACTGCCCCTTACCAGTGCTGTATGCGGACTGGCTGGCCGTCCTGTGGCTGCCGTCTCCTCATTGGTGGACCCTGGCCCCTCCTCCCGCCGGGGCGGGGCCATCTTCTTGGTGGACTGCATCTTGATTTGAGGCGGCTTGGCATTGGAGGGCATGTTATTGGTGGACTGCAACAGCTGATGAGCAGGAGAGAATAAAGTGCTTCGGTGAGACTGACAAGTCTCCGATCTCTCAGGCCACCAGCCCTGGCTTTTCAGGTTTTCCCTGTTCACATCTGCAGAAGGGTCCCACCCCACCCATTCCTTTCCTGAACCCTACATTTACCCCGAGCCGCACTGCATACCAATTTCCACCTGGTTACTCCCAAATTAAGCTTCTTTAAAACTGAACTTAAACTGCTCTTCATTTCCTCCCAACCTCCCCAGTCCTTCCTCTACTACAACGAGCTACCCCAGACCAGAATCACCCCCGACTGCCCCACCCCAGCCAACCCTCTCCCAGGACACAGCCCAACGATGCCCACACCCACAGCTGAACCCTGACCTTGGTGATGGTGCCCACAGCTTTTGTGCGCCCCTCCCTGAAGACGAGCCTCTGGTCGGTGTGCAGGTACTCTGGGGTCTTGATGAAGCGGAAGTGCACTGTGGCCTTGTCTCCTGTCCTCAGGCAGTCTTTGTTCATGGACAGGATGGTGGCCGTCTGTCTGATGCTGCCACAGTGTACTGAGAGGGGGGGGGAGAGAGAGAGTCTGTCAGTGTCTCAGTCACGGGCTGCTCTTCCAGTGTGTCAGGGTGTCAGTGTCTCAGTCACGGGCTGCTCTTCCAGTGTGTCAGGGTGTAAGTGTCTCAATCACCGCCTGCTCTTCATCATGCCTGGGAACCAGTGTCTCATTCAGGTCCTGCTATGCCAGTGTGCCTCTCCCAGGTCCTGCTATTCCAGTGTCTAAATGCCAGTGCCTCACCCATGGCCTGGTAGCGGGGACTGATGGTAGTAGGATGATGCAGCACCAAGATCTCAGCCTCAAATTCCCAGGAGGCTTGTGGGTTAAGGCGGGGCGACACCATCACCATGCCCTTCCTGATTGAAGAGCGCTTGATCTGAGAGAGACCAAGAAAAGACAGGAGTCAGACCACCAGTTCCCAGTCCGAGTGCTAGGGACCCATTGCTAGATCGGGTTTTTATTTAATTTGTTAAGAGGGGCAGAGAAACAAGTCATTTGCAGGTGGTGCATAAAGAGTGAGAGTCCAACAGAAAACAGAAAAAAATACTGTGTTGTCTTGAGTCACCTTCAAAGCCACAGTCTGTCTGCTGGTCATGCTGCAGTATCACAGATTCCCCTGGGGCCTTGCTGCCACGAAATCCAGATCGTTTTTGCAAATATCGCTGAGTGACACGGCAACGTGCAGGAGGACAAGACCAGGATGCCTAACAACTAATGTAGGGAACTGCACAGAAAAGCTAGGATGTGGTATTGTAGCGACAGGAAGGTCGCTGTCTGTCTGGTGCTGCCACAGTATACTGAGAGGGAGAGAGTGTGCCAGTGTCTCAATCACTGCCTGCTCTTCCAGTGTGTCTGGGTGTCAGTGTCTCAATCACTGCCTGCTCTTTCAGTGTGTCTTGGTGTCAGTGTCTCAACCACTGCCTGCTCTTCCAGTGTGTCT